TGAAAAATCAAGCTGAATGAAATTCAGAAAAACCTGACGGGAGCTTGGGAATCAGATCGCCAAGCAATGCCTGTCAAATAGTGGCTGTGGGTGTTTATCACCCACATGCGGCCACGTTTGTGATGCACGCATCCTTGCGAATTCGGGCCACGGGTGAGGTCAATGCACTCACCCTCTCCGCCATTGTGCACGGTTTTTCCTGTGCACCAGGCTAGGCCCACAAATATGGCACCGCATTCGTTCTTGCTGAGATTCGTCCCATTGTGCAAGATACGACCTAATTCGCGCGCCTCCCACGAGGTGTATCCTACTTTGAATCCCTGAGCAAAGAAACTTTCACTTTCTGCAAAGTGGAGTTTGCTAGGTGCCAGCTTACCTTTTTTGAGAATGGCAACAAAATTACCAGGTTTTGTGGCATGTGTGAAGGCCAGATGGATGATTTCATCGAGGCCTCTGTCTGGTGCCGCCCGTCTTGGTATCGGTGGCATCCCTGCTGGAAGGTTGGCTCTATCATACAAAATTGAGATCGGCAAAAGGTAAAAATGCTCCATTGGAGCCGGTTGGTCAGATCCCTGATTCCATCCGTAATAGCTGGGATCATACGTGGCCATTCTCATGGGTCCCAAATCTTGTGACAAAATGTCAGCCTGTGCCAGTAGCTTGGCTACATGTTGCAAAAAGGCTTCAGAAGTGGGATGCTCCTTGACTTGTTGATTCAAAAGGATTTCAAACAAGGAATGCTCATGATCATTTAGCGGGACATGGCCTGACGGCGTGCTCGGAATCGAAAACGCATTAAAAGGAGCACTACCTAAAGGCGCACTCAAAGATGCATTCGGAGCACTACGAACGGTCTGTGGCACCACCGGACGGGGTGGTGGTGGCGGCGGCGGAGGTCTTTCTTGAAATTGGCCGCTGTGACCGTAAATATCAAATACTCCAAGTGAAGTTTCCCAATTCCCTGGTGGGTATGTATGATGGGCTTGCTGTAAAGAGCGAGCCTCTGATCGAACTTCACTGACACTAGGTCCTGGGGACCGAGATCGTGCACGGCTATCGGATCTAGATCTCGTTTGACGAGGTCTACGGGATCGAGAAGATCTGGATCTCAGTGGTGGACGTTGTAAAGGTGCCAAACTGCTCGGTGCAGCTGGTGGTCTACCGATTTTCTGTACATCTTCAAGGGCTACAGACATTGGCCCCGGTGGTCTTCTAGGGGGGTCGAAGCTTGCAGTACCATCAGTAATTGGCAGCGCAGGTCGGACCTCACTCTTGGGTCTCAACGTCGAAACCACGGCAGCCGGTGCTCGAGGCGGTGGTGCTTTAGCCGCCTGACGGCTGTAGTCCCCTGCAATGAAATACACATTGTATGACATGGATGCAACTCTACGTGTCGAAAATGGAAAATGGAAAATGGAACACCATGACAACATACAATTAGAAAAGGTCAACTGTACAAGTATCAACGTGTGATACGTTTTCAGTGATTGGCTTCATGAATGAACGTGAAAAACATGTCGGTTGAGCCAGGATGTCTGTACAGAAACTGAAAGCTGAAGTACCGTGAAAACACTGCATCGAAACTCTCACTGATCCGTCCTACGAGTAAGTCTAAATGCTCTATTGCTGTTTCTTCTGCTTTGTTCTTTTGGCGACTCATAGTTGTTTCAGAGGAGGGCCCGAAAGCCTTTGTTCAGGAATAACCCCGAATGTTCAGAGTGAATCAGAGTGAATCAGAGTAATTCAGAGGCACAAAGTGCAATCAGAGATTTTCAGAGATTTTTCAGAGATTCTTCAACGCCTGAGAAAACATGCACGACAATTTCCATGGAGATCTTCGATCTCCGTTGGAAAGTGGAACTCCGTAACACGAATTACTCATCTCGAGGGGACGGAAGGGAAAATTAGTCCCAAATCATATCGGATACGGTTCAAAGAAATACCGATGGCTACGATTCATGGTCAAAACGACCCAGTGGTATTGCCTTGTTGTTTTTCTCTGGACAAGGACCAGACATACCCCCATTTTTTGGTGGTGAAAAAGTTGAGGGCCGAAGCCAAATCAGAGGGATACTGTTCACACGCCGGCAGTTACCGGATCACGACAGGACCATGACGGAATCTCTGCCGAATACACACTTGAAAGACCGTATCTCGTCTATGAGTCTTTTCATTCCCAACAGGGCACCTGAACTGATTCTGCTGTTTACATGCTTAGTTCAGGAAGGCCGTCTTTGTCCACATTGGACAAAAGTCGCAGAAATGGGTAAATACGGAAAAATGCGTAACGGACTCCGATTTCTCGAATTATTCATGCATATGATAAAAGATAATAACCGGAAAGTCATCAAAAAGCTTGGATAATGAAAGAACATCGTGACCAACTGCAGGTACGTCAGGGTGATCAGCCCTGATATCCCATCCAAGACCGTAGCTTCGTTGCACACGATGGGTCAAGGATGCCGTGTGCCCCTGCTTGTAAATTGGGAACTGTAGCTAAAAATTGGACATGTGATGAAAGCCCTTCGGAACAGGGGTTGCCCCCACACACAAAGGCCGTATGTCGCGAAAATATATCATCCGTTGCTTTCAGCAACGGTGATCTTGAAAAAACTGTTCCAGCGAACTTCAAAATGATTCCATGGCGAAAGTCTGAGAAACGAATCAGGAAGGCATTACAAAAATGGGCCAACATACAGGCAAGAAATGTAATGACAAAAATACAATGACAAAAATGCACGTCCATGAACAAATCGGGGCAAAACGGACAGCAGCAATACTTACTTGCGCTGGTTGAGTGCTTGATCGACGTCAGGTTGGGAAAAAATCTTTCTGTACATATAAGACGCCCAGCTGCGTCAAGCTACTGGAAATCAAACTGGTCGGACACGTGTATTTTCCAATTAAATGAGCCCGGCTTTTCAATCCACTCATTCTGAGTCGGAGTGACCCCTGCCTGTAAATTGGGAACTGAAACTAAAATTGGACATGTGATGAAAGCCCTTCGGAACAGGGGGGCCCCCCCACACACAAAACACACACACAACACACACACAACACACACACAACACACACACAACACACACACACAACACACACACAACACACACACCACACACGACACACCACACAACACACACACCACACACACACACACACACACAACACACACACACACACACACACACACAGACACACACAAACACACACAACACACACACAACACACACACCACACACACCACACACACAACACACACAACACACACAACACACACACCACACACACACACACCACACACACCACACACACACACACACACACACACACACACACACACACACACACACACACACACACACACACACACACACAACACACACACACACACACCCACACACACACACACACACACACACACACACACACACACACACACACACACACACACACACACACACACACACACACACACTTTTAAAATTAACTTGGTAAACTGCACTGAGGGCGGGCGCAAAGACCAACAGTTTGAAAGTCAATTCGGTCAATTGCACGGGTGGCAGGCGCAGAGAACAAGGATGTAACTTGATCCAGCCATCACTCTCGTAAATTGCACGGGTGGCAGGCAGACCGGGGATCCGACAATAAACCCGCTGAACTCCACCGATGGCAGGCGCGGACACCCACATTTTGAAAATCAACCTGGAAAACTGCCAGGTGGCAGGCGCAGCGCAGAGACCAAGGATCTAACCATCAGTCTGGTAAACTGCACAGGTGGCAGACGCAGAGACCAGGGATCTGACAATCAATCCCTTGAACCCCACAGGTGGCAATCGCAGACACCATCATTTTCCAAAATCAACCTGGCCAACTGCAAGGTGGCAGGCGCAGGAGCAAAAGTTTTGATAAGCGATCCCGTAAACTGCACGGGTGGAAGGCGCAGAGACCAGGGATCTGACAATCAATCCCCTGAGCTCCAATGGTGGCAGGCGCAGACACTAACATTTTGAAAATCGACCTGGTCAACTGCCAGATCGCAGGCGCAGAGGCAAAAGATTTGACAAACGATTTGGTAAACCGCAGGTGGCAGGGGAAAAGACCAAGGATCCAACCATCACTCCGGTAAACTGCACAGGTTGCAGGCACAGAGACCAGGGATCCGACAATCAATCTGCTGAACTGCACCGGCGGCAGGTGCAGACACCAACATTTCGAAAATTAGCTTAGCTAACTGCCAGTGGGCGGGGCAGAAGATATGACCAACAATCTGGTAAACTGCACGGGTAGCAGGCGCAGAGACCAAGGATTCAACCAGCACTCTCGTAAACTGCACTGTGGTGGCAGGCGCGGAGACCAGGGATCCGACAATCAATCCGCTGAACTGCACCGATGCAGGTGCAGAGACCAGGGTAGGTACAGCTTTTCATAGGAATGTTTCATATCCCCGTGTGCAACATCATTGCATGATTGTATGTGTATGCTTGTATGTGTATGATGGTATGTGATTGTATGAGTGTATGTGCATGATTGTATGACAATGTGGGCATGATGTCATGATGACGAAGAGAAGATCATATACAGTTAGTAGCAGCGCGGCATCCAACATGGTTGCGTTTGTATCAATTCATGTTGGTTGAGGTTCCTAGCCCTGGTTCCTTTACCATTGTGCAGCACCATTGCATGCTTGTATGTGTATGATTGTATCTGTATGATTGTTTGTGTATGATTGTATGACAATGTGCGCATGATGTCATCGGGAAAATCACATGACTACTAGAGTTAGTAATGCTCGTAGCATACAATCCAACATGACTGCGTATGTCAAAGAATGATACAAAGCAGAACTTTCAAGTTGTTGGGATGGCACCTGAGGTCATTTTTCACTGCAGATGTTGCAGGATTCGGAATCAATTTCAAAGCTATCACGGTCTTTCCACCTCTTTCCGCCTTTCCCAGTGCATCTGTGCATAAGTCCAGTGAGGCATCCAACTCGACCTTAGGATCCTGCTGTCCATTGGCATTGCTCGCCTGCCAGCACCTGTGGGAAAATGGGGCAACGGGGTGTTGGACATCTCTGGCATCGTGGTGGCACTGCTGATACTGGCCGTGTGGGTGGTGGTGGTGCTGGCAGCTGGGGCCCCAGGGTGGGCCAGGGTGGAAAGGTGTGGCATGGTGTGGCAAAATCGGATCTTGGATGGGAAGAGAGATGATATATCATGAGATATCCAGATCCAGATAACTATATGATAGATCTGGGTGAATCAGTCAAGTTCTTTTTTGTTGCCGGGTATCTTCAGATTGGCAAGCTATCCAAGGGGTTGGGCCCCCAGGGCCCACAATCTTTTTCAGGTTGCTATACTGGTGTTCCGCAAAGCCATCTTGAAGCGGGAGGAAACAAGGATCATCAACCTTGGAAAATTGGCGCGCTCACGCGTCTCAGCGTCGGGGATGTGGTATGGTATGGTTGGACTGGTTGGGGGGTGGATGGGTAGTGACAAAAAGAGCCTCAAAATACCCTTGACGGTTTGAAGTTTGAAGCACAGTTGGGGCGCTCCAAGGTGATGTTCTCCTCATCCTGGAGGATATTAGTAGCCATGTCAACGGATGGTCATCAGTGCAAATGCAACGAGTGGACGACGCAATCAATCAACTCTGCGTCTACGACTACCAGGTTCTTTGCACGTCCCTCATGCTCCTCTCCGTTGAGGTGGGTATAGGACCGTCCCGAACATCAACAAGCATGTGTTTTAGGTTAACGATGGATGACCGAATATCAAACACAGCACGAAATGGGCACTCTAAAGAGAGCTGCAAGCTCCAAACTCCATCAAACTCTAAGGTTTTGCTCATCCTCATATTTCATTCATATTTCATTCATATTTCCACATACCGATTTCAGGAGGCCGATCGTCATTGGGTTCCACCAGCATGCGAATCCGGGGGGTGAGCACCAAAGCGCAGAAGCTTCGACAGACCATGTCGCGACTGAGCCAAGTGGAGAGGGACAGTGAGGCGCCAAGGGCTGAAGCCCCAAAAAACTGGAGGGTCCGTCCGGGTGAATGACCAAGAAATACCAACAATCGGGGGCTTTCAGAACGAAAAATGGCTTAGCTTCACACACATTTTTTGAGAGCGCCCCCAAATAGGGGCCCCAAATTTCCACGTTTTTTTTTTCTAAATAGTTTATGTTCTGACCTTCATAGCTTGAAGGAAGAACGAGAGATTTGCCAAGGAAATATGATGACTTGTGTTTAAAGTTATACGTGGTAATGTGCTCATGATATTAAGGAACATGATGTACTTAAGGGTCTTCGGGTATAGGTTTGATCAACATATGGATAAAATGATATACAAAAAATGATGTTCCAAAAGTATTGTATTTCCTATTTAGGGATTTTCTGATTTTTTCGGGTTCGCAAGAAACAAATGGTTTTAGGAGCAAAAGTTATGAGAATTTAAGGATCATTGAATGGAGGTGAAAGCTGACGAGCTATGCCACTGGTGGTTGGTGGCTTCATTTTTATTTTCATGTTTCAGGCATCTTTGGAATGATGAAAATAATTTAACACATATTGCTGCGCCGGGTATCAACCATTGTTTAGCTGATTTAGCTAGCAAGAAGAGAGACACAATGCCAACAACAAACGAAAGACAGAGGATTCAAGTAGTTTGTCAAATCGGTGGGGATCATATGACCAACATCAAACTGAAGTTGAATACTGACGATGGTATCAATGCCATCGGGATTCTTCAAGGTGATTCACGTCAACGAACACGGGTAGCTTTGTTGTTGATGGTGATAATTTTCCTTCGGTTGGAACATGCCACCAGCTTCTATGACCAGTGGGTTCTGTAACAGATCGCTTTGTAGGGCTGTAGAATGATCCTTTGTTTCAGGAAACATTCTGTCGGTTCTTCCCCCCGTTTTTTGGGCATTGATGACTCGTTTCATTGCTGCTTTTGCTCTTAAGTGTCTGCTTTCAGCCAGTTCCCGCCCCACTTCAAGCTGCGTCGATTAGGTATGGCTGCGATTGCAATTTCGCCCTTAACATGCATAAACCACTGCGTTTTCCAACAAATAACATGCATTTCCAGGGAGTGCCTTTCAATTTTAAACTTTTTGTTGATATTTTGGTAGATTTCCCCAAACAAATAGTGCTGTTCACTTTGGAAACACAGCTTCAACGCGTCGATTCTGCAAATCACCAAACTTGTTGGCTTCACCGAACCGAAGTTTTCCATGGCCACCCACATCCAGCGGATTTGAGGCACAGCTAAGTGGTTCCCATCTCCAGTCTCCCACCATCTCCGTTAGGCCCACGATCTTGCAGCAGAGGCCTGGGATGGGAATCAGCACGGCTTTCAGGGACAGGATGGGACTTGAATTAACAGGTGGCAAATGGTGGCAAGCCAAAAAATCAAAGGACCGGATAGCCCACATGTCAACTTCTTCCAATAAGCACAAAACAGACGCGAACATGGGATGGGAAAGGCAGGCAAGATAAAGGAGATGGTGAAAGACAGATTGTGTAAAAGAGCTGAATGTGTATGTGACAGAATTGTGTGTGTCTGTGTGTGATGGAGTTGGTTGTGACAGTTGTGTGGAAGAGTTGTGTGCGACAAAGTTGTGTGTGAAAGAGTTGTGTGTGAAAGAGTTGTGTGTGAAAGAGTTGTGTGTGACAAAGTTGTGTGTGACAGAGCCGTGAGTGAGAAGAGTTGGTGTGGCAAAGTTGTGTGGAGGTGGGTGAGAGAGTTGTGTGTGTGTGAAACGTCTGAATAGACGTAAAACTTCGCGACCGGCTCATCTTTATATTTTATATATTATATATTTTTACTAACGCAGGAGATCACCGGGGTCCTGGGGGGGTCGGTGATCAACGAAGACACCTCCCCGGGACCCGTGTAAACGTACCTGCGGGGCATTGGTGGTGCACCTGGGCGCATTTAAGTCGCAGCTGGTGGCCACCTTAGCCCATATATATATATACATACACATCTAATCTAATTGCATGTGAGGGGATTCAGTTCCCAACGGATCACTTCAATGATCCATTTCTTGTCTAGTGTGTACACCCTTCTCACACAGGGCAAGGTAACCTAAATCACTGTCACTAACCGAAGTTGATCTAAAACAGGGGCCCAAGGACATTCTGGAAGGCTTGGGCCAACGAAGACCCTTCCAGTTTGTCGTGCAAACGTGCCTGCCAGTGATGCACCATAGATACATATATATATATATATATATGCAATGCTTCGACTGCGTTGTTACCTTCCAGCTTGAGCTTGGATACACACGCAGTTTATGATGCAACCCCGACTCAGTCTTCGAGAAACTGCCGCGTATCCTCTACCAGGTACGATTTGCCAAATCTTTTACGCTAAAACCCTGCAGAGCGAACTACGCACGATTCGACGTGGCCAATTTGGAACCAGCTCTAATTCTTAAAGCAAGTCCAGTGTGTGACAAAGTTGTGTGTGTGACAGAGTTGTGTGTGAAAGATTTGTGTGTGTGTACCATCTGCATAGATGTAAAACTTCATTTTACTGCAGGGGGCCACCGGGGTCCCAGGGGGTCGGTGGCCAACGAAGACACCCCCTGGGTACCTGTGAAAACGTACCTGCTCTATAATATATATATATAGTTATATATAATATGTCAAAGGGAACGTAGTGACAACATACAAACAATTCATGCATGGGACGCCACTCTGGCTCAAGACCCCCTGCGTGTGTAAAAGAGAGCGAGTGCTGCCTGCCATGATTACTGGGTCCGGAAACTATCAGTAAGCAAGGTACCATTTGAAATAGAACATCCAGAACAAGGATTCATTTGTTCACAGGTTATCAGCCGTAGGGCTCACTTCTCCCGCCGGGAGAGTGGTACCTGCGTGCTGGTAGCCGGGCCGTCTGAGCAATTGATTGTGGACGCAAAGGACCAATCAGCTCATCGTCGCAAAGATGCAAGGCGGCAGCGGAGATTCGCGCACCACGCAGTTTACCTTCAATGAGAACGCTGCTATGCCGGTCGAGGAGGTCAATCAATCTTCCCCTGGCGACACGGCTGACAGTGGCGGGATACGCTCTACCCGAACTACGCAGTCCGGATGGCAAGTCACATCAAATAGACGAAGAATATCCACACAAAGTACACCCAGATCTTCTCGAAACAGTGCTCGGAGTGATGGTGTCCGCCAAGGGCATCGACCATCTCGAGGGCGTACTACTCCAAGGGACAGATCCACCAGGGCCGTGACCGACCGAATTGGTGAGAGGACCGGGGATAGTCGTGTTAAGAGGAGATCAACGGATACTTCTGTGGCTAGTGAACCTATTGCCATGATAGAAGAACTACGGGCACAATGTCAATCCCTACGTAATCAGCTGAACAACATGGAAGCATACGCTGCATCTAGAGATCAACTGATTCATGACATCGAGATCAGATTCACTGAGTATCTTCGGGAACACAACCAGAATGTACTTGATGAGGTCAATGCACTCAATAACAGATTATCATGTTCCGCAAATGAGGTTGCAGAATATCAAGCAGAACTAATGGTAGCATCTCAGGAAGACGAAGGTGCAACAATACGCATCCAAGACCTTGAACGCCGAGGTGCCCTAATGGAACATGGTGCACGACGGATCCATCAACGTGGTATGGAGATCCAGGAAGAGTACAAGGATGAAGTACATCACCTTCGAGGACTACTGGGTAATACGGAGGCAAGACTTCAACAACTTCATCAAACCAATGTCTTAACCACCGATATTGCCAATCGACTATACAATGAAGGTCAAGAAATGCAAACAGACTTCCAGAATTCAATCATGGAATATCGTAACCGATCCGAGATGGCATCCTTCTCTAGTAATCAACTTGAAGTGATTAGCCAACAGCAATCAATTGCAGTTCATGAATTGTCTGAGCGGAATCAAATATTGAGTGAAGCTTTGGTTCAGTCTCGTAAACAGGCCGAGCTGTATGAGAGCAGTATTGATGAGATCACTAGAGAATCTAGGAAGAAGGTGTTCGAGGCAAATCAGGCCAAGTTGGAAAGTGACCTGAAGCATCGGAATACCGAACATGATACTGTCAAAAGAATTGCATCATACAGGAACCAAGAGGCCGAAGCAATATCACACCTGAGGCTTGAATCACAGGCTAGCACAAACTCGATCGCAAAGGCAGAGCATTATGAGGAGCTCTATGCCAACGAGCAGAAGATGAACTGCGAACTGAAGGATGAGATCAAGTTGCAGAACGCGAAGTTGCGGAGATCGCTGACTCAGGGTTCTACGACCGACGGTCGTGGCCCCGATGAGATGCTTGTCGAAGATCTACGTAATCAGGCCAAGATCGCTCAAATAAGGGTTCAGGACCTAGACCATGAAGTTCATGAATGTTTACAAGAGAACCTGTTGTTAAAAGAAAGATTGACTGAAGTTGCGGATGTAGGGGCGCCGTCCCTCACCAATACCGAGGTCCGAACTCTGAAATCTGAACTAGAGAATGAGCGCAAAATGGTATTGGCTAGTGGTGTTCAACAATATGAGAGATCATGCATATTCATGGGAGAAATCCAGGATAGGGATGAAAAGATCGGTATTAAGAATTCTGAGATTATGGACATGAAACGTCAAGTAGATGAAATGAGAAAGAGTCTCAAGGATTCTGAAATGTCAATGTCAAGGGTCAACCCTGACACGCTTTCCTATTCTGCAGGCATTCCCAACTATGATCTCGCATCAAGACTAGTCATCGACAAATTGGAGAATGACGTGAGTGAGGCTAACTGTGAAAACGCTATTCTGAAGTCTTGGGTCTCGCAGATTGACAAGGAGCTGAACCATGAAACAAATGTAGCTAAGTCCTATCGCGAACATGCTGTACCTCCTCAACGACCACCTTCTCAATCAAACAAAAGAATCACTGATCTGTTGAGAGAAGTCGACAATAGAATCGCTGACGGAACTGAGAAGGACTACTACAAACCACCGAGTGGATGGGGCGGTCCGCCTGACCCTGATGGACCTCCTGACCCTTTCGGTCCCAACGGTCCAGGACCACCTCCTGAACCCCCAGGATTGCCTTCTGTTCGAGGATCACAACGCGATTCAGCAGATGATGTCTCCACTGCAGCTTACACGGCAGAAGAAGTGCCAAGAATGTCAAGACGAGAGGCTGACAAAGTCTATGTTAGCCCATGGCCGAAACAGCAGAATCTTGGGGTTTGGCAATCAGATCTTATCAAGAGTGTTGTTCTTGCTGCCAATGATGGGGACAAAGCCGCATGGGAAGCATGGTTACAACCGGCTATTCGACCAAATCCCGACATCGAGCTATTGAATGACAGTGGAGGACAACGGTACCAGTCAATCGACGCCAAGTTGTCAATCGCATTGTGAAGCGTGATAGCCCAAGCCGGTGATGTTGCTCGTCATGTAGCGATCAAACTGAGATTGAGGACACAAAGTCATAGTCGAAGAGGAACCTACGTCATGGGACGGGAAATCTTGGCTATGATCCTGGAGCACTTCAGAACCCCAGGTCAACGAGAGACAGCCTTCACTATGGAGCACATCGTATCGATGAAGTATCTCGGTGACTCAAACCTGGAAGTATTCTATGAGAAATGGATGGAGATGGTATCTAATATGATGCCGGATGATGTACCTCCTGATGATTGGCTTCGTGATGCTTTGTACAAGAAGATTCGAAATTCGAGCCTTATGATGTTCGACATCAAGCAATACGAGTCATGGGTGGAGGGAGACCAAAGACGAAGCTATCGCTATCTCTTGGACGTCATCGAAAGACATATCTCCAGAATTAGAGAGGACAAGCATGTAGCCGCTAGAGAAAAGTATGCAAGAGATTTTGCAGGTGGCGGCAAACCTTCAGCTCCTGCACCAAATCCGACTGCTGCTGCGCCGGATGCGAACCCGAAAGCTAAGCCCAAGGCTACTCCCAAGGAGAAGGCAGCACCCAAGGCGAAGGCCAAGGCCGATGCAGCTCCGGTTCTACCATCTCCTCAGCCTAAGCAGCATGCGAAAGGGAAAGGAAAAGGTCAAGGGAAAGGAAAGGATCGAGCAAACAGCCGAAGTGCCAGTCCGAGATCCAAGAAGAAAATCCCGTGCCATTTCCATTTCATCAAGAAAGCATGCAGAAAGGGCAAAGATTGCGAGTACAGTCACGACCAAAAGGTGTTCGATGCAAACAAGAATGCTAAAGGCAACGGTCGAAAGCCAGGAACTCCAAGAAGTCAATCCCCTGCAAATAAAACCAAGAAGATTGATGAGCCATGCTGGCATTGGGCCAAGGGCAAGTGTCGGTATGGAGACAAGTGCAACAAACGCCATGATCCTCATCTATTCAACACT